TGTTTGGCGATTGGCCTCAAATTGAATAAGTCTTCCGATAGTAGGATCCGCTCACGACGTGATTCAGACAACTGTTCCCTCTTTAGTGGCGGTAATTGCGGACGAATTATAACCTATTTATGAATATAACAACATATAGTTCACATGATATTCAAGTGTTTATGAAAGATATGAATTCAGGAAACAATTAATGCGAAAAACCCATTGTAGGCAATATTTATCTGACATTCATTAGAGTACTACTTAACAAACGAAAGGTATTTTATGATTAGATTTTTTGTGTAAATTGTGGCGAAATTAAGATATAATTAGGAAATATTTTTAAAAAGTGAAATCTTGGCACATATAGTTTTTTACGGTATAAATGCTTAAAAATATTAGTCTAATAGAGTCTAGTTATGTAATAATGGTGTAAATACTGTTAAAAATGGGTTATTTGAAATGCATTTAATAATAAAGTATGTGTTAAGTGGTTTACGGTAATAAGCAAAAAAAAGTAAAGTACAATTATTGTGTAAAGTGCACAAAAAATGAAAACTATAAAAATAATTTATAAAATATGGGTTTAAAATTTTCTAATTTAAAGCATATTTGCGATAATCCCGTACTAATCACTAAACTACTATTAATTAAGAGTTTATGAAAGCATGTTTTGATTTGTTATGTTTTAATCCCTCGTCTAGTCATGAAGTAATTTTCTTTACAACTTTTTCCATTAACTATAATATAAACTAAATATACACTTAATTAGAAAACTTTATATTATGTTTTGTTGCACTATATATTTATATTTTTTAATTTGGTTTTGTATACTGTATGGGATCAGCACCGGTAGTAACCGTATTAAATGAGACTAATATGTTTTGTAATATAAATATATGACATGATATGATACCTTAATCTCTTCCTCCTCGTCCTCATCGGAATAGTTGGCACTATCGCTAACATTAGTGCGAATAGATTTGGTATTATTGGCACTCGAGATGTCGAACTCGTAGTCGAAATTGAGAATAGGAGGCGCCGGTGGGGGAGTGGATGAGGTGTGCACTTGTTGTCGGCTATTGTACGGCTTCGCGGGTCTAATCATGTCATCATTGGTCAAGTGATGGGTTCGGGAGCCGTTGGTGTGGACACCATTGACACCATTGCCGGTGCCGTTGTGTGTCTCATCACTCCACGGATGTATCGCACGCTTTGTGTCCAACGATTTATTTTTATTGTTTTTCTCTAAATGTATCAAACGGTGTGAATAGGGTTTGAATTCATATCACATTTAGACGTGACTTATATTTTTGACATTTTTATTGTGTCTTAAATGATAGAGTAATAGAAAGAAAAGAGTATTTAATGAAAAGTTGTGTTTAATTATTGTATTATAGTATAAATGACCTAATATTTGATGAAATGCTAGCTTTTGTCTGGCGTTCAGAAAAAGGGGTTTCTTTTTGCTATACATAAGTAGAAAACACGGAATCCCTTTTCAAGTGTTATTTAAACAATTGATTGATTGAAATTTAAATATAATATATGTTTTTGTAAGAGTTTAGTCACCAATTTTTCGGTGTATTATCTATTGATTAGGAAATAATTGTACGCAAAAGCATATTAAACCACTTTATCTTCATTTCCTCAATTCAATCAACATTTAAAATGCACTCAATTTTATGATTTGAATCATAATTTTATTTTGCTTATGATTTATTTTATATTCAAAAGCAAAGTAAGAAAATTTTTAGGCGTTGTTTCTCATTGAGATACGGCTTTAAAGTAGTATACATTTTGTTAATCAAATGGTATAGAAATTTGCTTTTAAAATATAATTACTGTTCAATGAGATCACAATGTAATAGAATTTTGTATTTATGATATTATACATTATACTACTTAATAAAAAAGCAAAATCTTTATTACTATTTAATATATTGAAAACTTTTTAATGCCTTTTGAAATGAATGTCTGATATAATAAAGGTGTCTAAAAATCAAAATCAAATCATGTGTTTCTGAGTCAAGAATTTTGCGATGAATTAATTGTATACCAATACAAATATGGATTGAATGAGAGAGAGAGAGAGAGAGAGAGAGAGATTGTATTTCAATAAACTTTTTTCGTATAATTAAACAAAAAATTAATATTTTTGCCATTAAATTGTGTTCAATAATAGGAGATTTAAATACAGACACAATGTTTGCATACGAATAGAAATAATAGCCTTTTCTTTGTTTTTATGCTTAAAAAGTGGTTAAAAGAGAAAAGAGTTTTCAATTTCACTACAATTTAAAGCATTTAAATCAATACAGATATCACGATCACAGTTAATGTGCTTTACATACAATTTATATAATAATACTTTTCGTGACTTTTGTTAGATTGCATAGAAAGGCAAAGTCATATTCACTGGCAAAGCAAATACGAAAATTAATGCTAATTATGAACAAGGCAGTTATGAACAGGCTTCATAGTAGTGTGCTATATATACCTGTATCATGTATACTGATTTTTATTTTAATTAAACAAACCAGTTTAATGTTAATTTATATAATATTTTTAAAATTTTTCTAATTTATAGTAATTTTTATTATAGAAAGAAAGAAAGAATAGGAGAGAGAGAGAGAGAAAGAGAGAGAGAAAGAGAGAGAGAGAGAGAGAGACATTGTATTTCATTATACTACTGTGTAAAATACATTTAATAAAAGTATTCATTTAATAATAAGTCCTTTTCAAGGAATACAAGCTTTCAAATTAGGAACAGATATTTGTTGCGATCGTTTTGATGGCCTATTTTGGACCGACATATCAAAAAAAGTTGTGCCGCTATTACTTTGCCATTGACTTGTGAAATATGTATTGAAATTAATAATTTTTTCTCTAATACTTCAAGACTATTGAGAAACACATAATTAAATCTAAGCAAATCTTCTGGTATTTATTCCCATTAATGATTTTCTCATTGATTAATAAATTCTCGAAATAAAATTAAAATCTTATTTATGATGAGCGCATGAATAGAGAGTTTTCTCAGACATCATATGATGATTGAAACTAATTTGCCGTCTCATCCTATGCTCCAGACCTCCACCTTTGACCTCAAAATAACATATTTTCAAAAGCAATGCATTTTAGATACATATCTGGGTCTAATATGTTGCCGTAAAACAAAACGTTTTGTTTATTGTTCATAATATGTGAACAAAATGAAAAGTATTTTTTCGCAAAATATATAATTGTGTGAACACTTGACGCCTAAATTCTGGGATATTATTCACAATTACATGTACTGTTACTGTATAAATTATAAATGAAAAGTTTTTTGCATAAGAATTTTTGTCGTTTAAGAGAGAGAGAGAGAGAGAGAGAGAGAGAGAGAGAGAGAGAACGTGCAGAAAAATTAGTTCAAACAACAAACACAAATGCGAAACGCCTTATAATATTGAAATTGAACCACTAATTTGAAAGCAAACCAATTAATTGTTTGGGAAAATTCAGGCCAAATATAGTCTTAAAAATATAACACATATTTGTTGTGTTAATAAAGAAATTATCGGAAAATTTATGAGAAAATTGAGGGAAAATTGTTATAAATTTGCAAAACATATCATAATATTAGCATAAAATGTCTCATAATTACCGTTTGGTTGGCTCTGTTTGCCGAAGAAGTAACTGGATTTTTGTTGGTCTTTGAGACCAGCAGTCGGTGTACTTCTCCTCAAAATGAAGTTGTCATCAAAGGCTGGCGGAAGGGCCGGACTGCCGGCGCTCTTATTCCTAACCTTTCTGTCCGAATAAAACTCATCCGACTTATTACCGTCTAATTCATCAAAATATCTGTAATTATAGTGATTATTATGATTACTATTATTATGATTGCTGTTGTGATGACTATTGCGGAGCTCAGGGAACAGGTCCTCCGAGTTAATTGAATTCAATTCCTTATAAAACGGATTGTCATTCACTTTAACGAAGTCCCTGTTATTATGATTATAATAATTATTATAGTTATTGTTGTGGTTATTATTAGTCTCGGCGCTCAGCTCGCGGTTCAATCTCTCGATTGATTTGATTTTATAGTGTTTATCGATGGAAATCATATCAGATTTGGTTTTGTTTTTCAGATCCGACTCGTAATTGGACGACGAGGACGAGCGCTTCAGTTTGCGGTAATCCTGGGAACAGTCGGCGCTCAGCCCAGAGTTAACCCCTTATGGAGGGAGAGATATACAAATGATTAGGGAATTGCTATTTTTGGTTATTTCTTATCAAATGAAAACTTTTGTATTGAAAACTATTATGAAATATACAGAGATAAGTGTTTGGCCTCTAATCAGATCCAATAGTTAGATAAGAGAGCAATCGGTTTAATATTATAATAATTGGACTTTTATTACATATTATTATTAGTTTATAAATATATTTCATTTCATTTTTATTTTGAAGTAATTGTATCTGTATTTTAGAAAAGTTTTTCTAGGTTTTATTATTATTATTATTATATTTTGTTGAAATGTTTATCATAGATGAATAGCGATTTGAATAAGTTTTTGACTTAAGGGTCCAAATTGAGACTAGCAAAACCTTATAACTGTTATAATAATAACAACATTAGCGATCCTATTATAAATATAATAACTAAATATTTAAAATCTATTTCTTAGATAATTAGACCAATTGGTTCAACATTTTTGCTTAAATTGGTTTAAATACTATTTTTCACTATTCATTAGTTTTGTTAAATGTTTAGACAAAAAACACATATTTTTGGGATGATTTGAGAACTATAATAGCATTTGTCTGGAATTTCTCCTAAATAAAGTTTATTTTTAGTGGAAAAATGATAATAAATCTAATGATAAGAATTAATGACAACTATATAGATATACAAGAAAAATCAAAACAAAAAAATAAGAAAATGATGATATTTTTCATAAATAGGTTATACGAGAAAAATGGCCATAAAATAAAAGGAAGATTAACTGAAAAATATGAAAATAAACACAAAAATAAACTAAAATAAGACATAAAACAAAACTGTTCGAGAAAGAAAGAAGTCTTTAATTTGATGTTTGAGTTCAACAAAGCGTTTGTCTAAAAGTGGAAAGTTTTCTCTGAATGTCTGGTTTTGTTCATACCTTCAAAGTTGGCATTCTTTGAGTCAAATATGATGTTTCGTGACTGATATCGTGATGGCATAACATGATTAGCACCGGTATTATTAGTATGATTGCCACCACTACCGGCACTACCATTACCCGGATCTTTATGGCCGGTGGAGGACTGGTGTTGGAGCTGTTGCTGCGATAGTTTGAGTCGCGGTATAATCAGATATCTCGACGACTCATCACTAGAGATGTGATTATTATAAGACTTTTGGCTCAATTTTCTGGTCAAACCATTGTTATGAACGTCTAAATTATTGTGAGCACTGTTGCCACTGCTACCGGCGCTGCTGGCACTGGCGGTGCCACTGGTGGCCACAAACTGTTTGCCGGCACTCTTCTTGTGACTGTCGGTCATATTACTGGAACTGCTGTCCAGCGATGACAACAAATTGCTGTGAGAGGTGTTGGTGGCGGACAGGTCTTGCGTGGAGCCGGACAGGTGTTGGGGAGGTGGAGGTGCCCTATACTTTGCGCGGTGTATCTTAGCCGCCACCCCATTACTAGCGCTACTCTTTCGGATGCCATTGAATTCCTTTCGCTTATTGTTGTCCTCATAATTACTACCCTCTGATTGATTGCTGTCATGACTACTGCCATTATCTGCGGCTAAATCGGTCTCACTTTTGCAGCGCCTGGAGTTCAGTATAGCTTTGAGTTCGTCAGCGATCGGACTCTTCGTGGCGTTTGTCAGCGGCTGTCAAATGGATATCAAAAATGCCATTAATTTTCAAACTCACAAACTCTGATAAAACAAACCATTCATTTTGTCTGCAAATTTTTATTTTGTGTTTAAGTTTTTATTTCATTTTTCTCTTTTCTCTTTTGTGTTTTAAAAAACTTTTTGCTTTTCTATAGCAAAAAAAGCAATTAAAACATTATTTTCTGTTGAAATACATGTAAAACCCTAATGAATAAACTCATGATTTTGTTGCAAAATATTTCATAAGAAGTTTTTTGCATTTACTTCACTATAAGAGAGGTTTAATTGTCTCGACATCTCATCAATTATTAATGTGTTGTTTGATCTGCTTTTAGTGATAATGCAATTAATTTTAATGCTATACTCAACGGAATTTCTGTTTCCGTACTCAACACTAGATATTAATTATAATAACGGCTTCCCTTTAATGAATATAATTTAAAACAAACTTTTGTCTTGCTGTATTAACTAAATTAACAAAACTTATAAGCTATATTCAAATCGTCATTAAATAAAGTCATTTTGTTTCCGACTTTGCATTCATAATACTTGGAAATTTAAATATCGTTTAAACATAGGAAAATGTATTTAAAAATTATCATCGCATTCATTAAAGCATTCAAATATACGGAGGATTTAAATACTTAATGATATGTTAACATTGAATGCAAATATAATGGAGTTTTAAATGGCTTTTGTATTTCCAAATTCATTGCCAAACCTTATATACCGAGAAAGACTTAAAACTTTCAAAACTTTATTAAATAATAGCTTGAATTGCAATAAATGATACAAAACCAATACAATTTTGTAAAGATTAAAAATTATTACCATAGAAATGAACACGAATTTAGTTGCATTTAATAAATTTCTATGTATACAATAAAAACATTTAGCAAAAACTTGAGCTTTTTGTAAGTTTTTTGTGTTGTTGTATAACAGGAGTTGTGATACACTTTGTATTGAAGGAAAAACTTGTTATTTTCTGATTCTTATCTGATTTGTTAGCTTTTCTATATGAAAATTATGTGAAATTAATATTTATTTTTCGAGCGCTAATTATTTGAACTGATTTTATGCAAACCTTATAATTACTTCATATGATATCAACGTTTTGAACTGAAAATTGAATGTTAAGTGAAAAATATTTGTGGCGAAAAATCATATTTATATTGTAATGTTTTACAAAATAAAAAACTAATTTCATACTTAATTATAGAGTAGCTGAAAACTTTTATCATTTAATTTTTGTTAGTTTTCACTACATTTCAAACACAGTGTTTAGAAAATTATTTTGAAATTAATATTTTGTTGAAATAAATAATTTGTTTTCGAAATAAAACACTTGAGAGATATAGAAATTTTAATTAACAATAATAAAAACAAAGATTTGTAGGTTTTTAATAATACACTGACTGTTCAGTAGAAAACAAAGGGATACGAGAATAATGAGGATATGTTTCAAACATATAATATTGTATTTATTTTATGATTTGTTTATAGACTTGACATTTGAAAGAATAACATTTATACCGAGAATAACATTTGATGTCAACCTATTTATATTTAAATATGAATATTAAAATGCAATTGTAAAAATTCATGATTTACTGGATTACTACTTATAATACTTGGTCGTTTGAACAAACCTAGAAATTCAAACTTCATTAGCATATGAATGCTATTTGTTTGAGAATATTATATAAATATAAAGGATAATAAAACAGAGGATTTGGTTTATCTGTGTTACGACTTTTGAAATATGGTTTCAAATAAAATATGATAATAAATAAATATTATATTTTAAATGTATTTAAAACTGAAAAGAATTGTAGTGATATTCATAGAGATTTAATGTATATTCCTATTAATTAATTATACTTTCAAAATTATTTATAAATAAATGTATTTTCAAAATTATAGTTTCTGTATTTATTTCCACAATTTACGTGAACTTTATAACTCTTTCGATAGAAATATAAAATGGATTTTTCTCAATAAAACCATTATTTTCTTAAACGATTTAATAAGAATTTAATCGTTTTATATAAGAAAACAATAAAAATCGTTTCTTAAAATACACTTTTTTATAAAATAAAATATTATAGTTTTTACTTCTTTTTGTATTTCAATTGCCAAATAAGTAGTGAATCGAAAAGATTTCCACTAAATCTTTTGATTTGATAAAATGGAGCAAAAAATATCACCAAAAGTTTAATTAAGGAAATGATAAGTGAAGTAAAAATGATTGTCATTATTCTCATGTGCTGTCAGACATACTTTTAAGGGAATATAGAAATTAATTTAAGAGACTTTTGTGTATTTTCTCACTTATGGCATGAGAAGGCTTTTCATTAGTATTTAGGAGAAATTCCAGACAAATGCTATTATAGTTCTGCACGTTCTCTCTCTCTCTCTATCTCTCTCTCTCTAATGGACAACACGTTTTTGACCACTTTTTTGTTAATATCTATAAACAGTAATTACTTTCTTTGCCATAAAAACGAGACACAAAATAAAAGTCATTTCGAAATTCATTACAATTCTCAACATTTTTAATAACAAAAAAAATACATAAAGACACTCTAGTTTTTATGAGTTTTTTTATTTTCAATTAAAAACTAAATAACAGGCAATTTCTATGCTCACTCGTTAACAACAAAATTAAAGTCAAATAATTTTCAAGAGTAGAGCAGAAAATTTTAGTTTTCTATCGATTTTAATGATTTGAAGTTTATTTGACAGACTAATGAAAAGCCTTCTCATGCCATAAGTGAGAAAATACACAAAAGTCTCTTAAATTAATTTCTATATTCCCTTAAAAGTATGTCTGACAGCACATGAGAAAGCAATGGGAATAATCATAATTGATATTAAGTTTAATATAAAAAATAAAGTTATTATTCATTAACATTGAAATGATATTTCTATAGTAAATGAATGGATGACCTAAAAATATATTCACATCCACTCTATTCTACAACACATGTATTATTATAAAATGAAAATTCAATTTAAAAAGCGTTGATATATAATAATTGAATAATAATAGTAACTCTCATTAATCAGGACTTACTTTACTGAACTCGAGTCCCCTGATGGTGCCTTTGGCGGCCAATATCTGTCCATTTTCTGTGGGCCTTAAGACCTGATGGAAGGAATGGGATCGCGGAAGGGGTGGTAATTGCATCCCCGGAGGTCTCGTGTATTTATGCATTTTGTGATTCTCGTTGTGATGGGTATGGGAGCGAAGTACGGGTCCCTTGAAATTACATCGACTGTTGTCCTCAGCGCTGATGCCGAGCACTGAATGCGGTCTTTTAGAGTCCTTATTATTGTGGCTCTGGTTCGTGACAAATGTCTTATTGAATCCACTCGAATGGTTACCCATTTCCAGATGATTATTACTATTATTTCACTCAATCCTATATCTAAGTAACTAAAACAATCAACTATATTATATACCCAAGGCTTGGGGTCTATGCTATGATATTAAGTATTATTAAAAGAAAAAATTATTAGTCTTCGCAGATATCATGTGTGAGAGACTTAATGTTATATAAGTTTTTCCTGCTATTTATGATTTGACACCAGAAGTTATGATTGTTTTTTGTGCCTCCAGTCATAGGAACTTAAATACACGCTTATGTAGTATTGGTCTCATTGTTGTCATATTATTTATAAATAGGATTTATGTGTCGACACAATCGCCAAAATTGTACCATACATTTGAATTATTAAGTGTGTAATCATATAATATCTGATATTTTATTATCAGTCCCAGTGTTTTGTCATAGACTTTGCAACGTTGAATACTTTTCAATAACTATTATTAACACATTTATTGATAGCAATTTAAAAATGCATTATTTTGTTTGATTTTTACAAAAGTGTTTTTCGGTTACGATTTGAGCTTTTTTAGGAAGTTATTGAATGTATATTATTTTTGTTGACACAATTTGTTCACAAATAAAATAATCCATAAAAATGATGATGCGTTTAATATATAAATTTTTTAAATAATTTATTTTTATTATAATTTTTTCTCATATGATTTGCACGAATTTGTTATAGCATTGAAAAAATATTTATAACTTTTTTTTCATGTAATAATAGTCAGAATATATTTATGTGAAAAATACTACTTAAGTGTTAGACACCATTGAAAATCAAATGATGTTTTATTATTAATAGTGTGCTTTGAGTTGTGGTTCAAGAATAATATTACATTTAAAACATTTTTCACAATAATTTTATGAATCCATGTCTACATTAATTAAATCGAGATTTGTTTTTTAAGGCAAAAATCCAGTGAACAAAATACAAAGTTTATTTAGCATTGAGTTTAGGGCAAAATGCTTTGATGGGTAAACATCTAAAACAAATACAATAATGTTTATTATTAGCCAATCAATCAATCATTTGGTGTTTAAAATAATTTTTTGTCTTCAGTTGAAATGCTTTTCCCCTATTTTTTGATTAAAGTCACGAAATTTGCTTTTAATTCGTATTTGTCTTCATGTAATTTATTTATAAAACTTTTAATTTATTAAATATATTCCGCAAATGAATGTCAAGCACATCGAGTAGTGGTAAGTTATTAATTATTGGATACCGTTTGGGAATATAATATGAATTATGATGATTTTAATTCCTATGTTTAGTCACACATGAGTTGTGAATAAAATGCACACAAACAAAATCACTCCTGTATTTAGAAAAGAAAACAATTGAACAAAATAAATAAAAATATATATATTTTAAAAAAAGTTTTCAAAGAGAAAAGTCAACTTAAATATAGAGAACGAAACCATTGAAAAGCAAAACATAAACAAAATGTTTGAATTATGCCAACAAACTTACTGTAAATATTGTACAGAATTAGATAGAAAATAAACAATAAATCCCAAAAAAGTAAATTTAATCTAATAATAACTATTACGAAAAATGCAGATTCACTCAAATCTTTGAAAGGTTTCTCATCCGAGAAAAGTAATCATAAAAACAGATTTGAATGGAAATATTGCGAGAGATGTAATAAAATCGATAGATTGGGATATACTAAGTGTTACTCTAAACTCACATATGATTGTTATATTACTCGAAAACAATAGCTTTCGGTGATATTGTGTGAAGACTGCGAGATGTGTTGTATTTCATGGATAGAGAGGGGAACAGACACTCCATTCACTCCTTCCTTAGTTTATGAACTTTTCAACTTTTATCTCATGACAGACAGTGCGGTGAGCATCGCATCTAAAACTCATATCAAACTTATATAAAACTCATACAACTGTGTGGTTAAGGCTCTTAAATATAACACAACTCTTATATAACAACAACACAGTTATAGCGACTGCCGGTTGCAACTCGTAGTCACTAAACGAGATTTGAGTCAAAATTAATTAAACGCCTGTAAATTGAATTAAAATTATAATTCCTTACTCTGTTGCCAACAAAAAGCAATAAATGTTACTTTTTATAAAAATCATATCAATTTAAAAGTTTAAAAAAGTTTAAAAAAGTTTGTCTCAACTTTTCCCCTAAATTCCTAAACTCATGTCAAAAAGTTTTGTTTATGTTTTGCAAATCACTTTGTTATCTAGAAATCTGTCAATTATTATGTAACTGAGTTCACACATAAAATGCTATTTAATGAATTCAAACAATTTGAAAGCAGTTTTAATTTCCATACGATTACGATCTTAGAAACAATTTCTCCGCAAGAAATTTATACCAAAAAAATTAAATATAATTATTGAAATAAAAAGCTTTAAATTGCTGTATACCTCGTAATAATTAATAGCAACAACACTGACCTAACTGTAAGGCCGGGAAACGGATTGACACAAATGGCATGAGAGGGTCGACACTTGTTTATGGGGTGATGAGTATCGGGTCGTATACTCCACAGAGTCCTACGGAATGCGATTCATCACAAACTAACGGTAAGTTCTCGTACTATAACTCACTTTACACTTCACTCCAAACACACATCGCAGGCAACCAACAAAAAAAGTTGTTCACAATTTGCGGGTCACACACGTTATCATAGCATTAGCATACCGTAAGCCCAGGGATTCATAATATATTATATAATACGATAGCATTCACTATGGATTGCATGGAAAGGTGTTGTGAATGGAGAGACAGCACCGCATAAAACAAGCACTGCTTCTAACTGTTCGCTCGCTTTTATTACTGAATAACGACTGCAAACACTGCGAGCTCTGCACTGAGACTGAATGGAAAGGTAGTCATACACTCATACAACAGGTCTGCTCCACGAGCTCTGCTCCGTCAGGTATAGCCAACTCTGGAGCCGTATATTTAATGCTGAGTTGAATGGCCCAAACACTGGCAGCTAATACATGGCAGCGCTATGTGTTGTGTCAAATGCTTAGCTTTTGGGACCAATTATTAAACAGCACTTTAGATATACAGCAAAAGTCAATGCAATTGAAACTGGTTTTGGATGAAATGCACGACGATTTCGGATGGAGTCTAATGTTGTGTTGCATTTCATGGGATGGGGGCCGGGATGAGTCAAATGAATTAAAGGGGGAGTTGTTGTGTAAGTGAGGCATTCCTCCTGTTCGTACGGATACCTGTGCTCACACGACAAATGTGAGTAAATATGCAAATCGGACTCAATTCTCATTCTCTCACATATATTCTCAAAATTCAAAACTCATTTCCAGACAATCGATGAGAACTTTTACACAACTTTTACTGCAGACACAACTACCTGTCCATTCATGAACACCTTATTTTTGTTGAGCACAAGTGGAGCCAATTTTTGGCTCTTAAATCGTAGATAATATAATGTAATTGCATTGAGAGGACTATTATGTGATACCTTTTTTTGTAAGGATTTGTAAGGACCACACACTCTCCGTCCAAACATATCATTCCCATTGTGTTAAGCATTTTGTTTGCGATGATGTATTTTTATTTTTGTATTTAATTTACTAAAATTAACATCACTTGTAATTATTATACAATAGAGTGGAGTAAATAGTAAATTATAAACATTTACTCATTTATTATTCTCTCGGCTCTCAGTATTAATAATTCATAATTTTATTTGTATTCTTGGGGCAAATGTTTTTTCATTACCATTGCTTATAATTTGGCATAAATTCTGTAATAACTTATTTGGAATAAACTTAACCCTAAATATAATATAGGAATTACGAAAATTATACATTAGATGCTTATTATTAATAAATAGAAATAATATATAAAAACTAAAGCGATAGAAAAACTACATTAAATGATAAGAATCGCCGTATAATCAGTTAGCATTCAATGCATATTTTTGTTGGTTTTGAACTAAAAAAATTGGTTGTTTTTCTCGTATGGCAAACACAATATTAATGCAAATCATGAAATAAATCAAAATTGATATTTGATATAATGCTTTATCGTATAGATGCGACCATTAACTGATTATAAACATATTTTACACAAAATAACAAATATTAAAGAATTTAACTAATTATTTGCTAAACCAAACCCTAATACAGGAATATTAAGTATCGTTTGTTATGCCTTATAATTACTTAATATAATATTATTTATTGATTAATAGATTTGATTAAATGATAGCAAAACAAACAAAAGAAAATAATGTCTCAAATAAATCATATGCTTAAAAGAATAGTGTATTTTTGATCTCTAAAAAGACATTGAAATATACTTTTGAAAAGAGTTTAGGTCTTCAGATCTACGTATACTTCATAATCAGTGAACGAAACAAAATATTAATATTATATGATATAAAGGCAATTTATTTATAGTTTGACTGATTGTCAGTAGTGTTGCATAGAATAAAAACAGACTTCAAAACTATGTTTTGAATGTCAAATACACATTCAATTGAAGTTTTATTATTCTATATAATATTGTCTACAATATTGTATGTCTTAGACTAAGGTGAGAGAGAGAGAGAGAGAGAGAGAGATATTCTATGCGTTAATGACTGACATGGTAGTAAATTTATTGTAAAAATGTTTAGCAATAATTTACTAAACAACAAAACATTTTTGATTTGTGTTTTGGGACAATACGGTCAGACCAGTGCTCGCCTCCAAACATAACACACAAACAATTGAGTGAAATATCGAAATAGAAATATGTTTTATAAAAGCTTTTTTGTAAACCAATTCAATACTCGTTGGTCATAGAGAATCTCATATCGTTTGCCATATGATAGGGAACAGTAGATACCAATAATATAGTGTAGGAGCTTTTTCAGGTTAAATATCTTTGTATAATATATGAATTTTTTGCACTCTTTTATTGAATTGAATTTTTCATTTCCTTTTTATTTCAAAAAAATAATTTTTTTATCACTATTTGAAAAGAAGTGTTTTTGTGTTTTTTGTT